TCCAGAGGCTGGATGGCCATCTGTTGGGAATGATTTGATCATATGTTCCTGCATGGTGGGGGGTTGGACTGGATTGCCCTTGTGGTCTCTTCCAGCCCTATGATTCTATAGAGAAGATCCATTGCATCCATTAGATTTATCTACATGTTGACTCATCATTCAACAGTTGTTTGAATGGGTTTGCTCCAGTGGAACTAACCAACAGAATTCCAGTGTGGTGTAATGGTTTGAAACACTGAAAACCAGGGTTCAAATCCTGATTGGCTATGGAAACCCACTTGTTGACTCTGGGAAAATCCCTCCAAACAAACTTTCTCAAAAGAACATTGTGATAGGTTCACCTTAGTGTTGCTATAAGTCAGAAATGACTTGAAGGCACACATCATCATCAGAATGTCAGCCATTGTTGGAGCACAATAATATTCCTTACCATTGACTATACTGGTTAGAACTGATAGATTTACAATCCAACAACACTGGCTGGGCTATATGATTCTTATTACTGACTAAGAGGTATGGCAAAAATGCTTTGATATTTCTACAACATATAGTCCTAGCTGGCAACTTATTTGTAACAGTACTCAAATTTTGACTAAGGCCTAAGCAGACTGCCAGAAATAGTGCACATTAAATTGAGGCACTGCCCTGGCTCAGTGCTAGGGAATCATGGGAACTGTAATTTATTGTGGCACCAGAGCTCTCTCACAGAGAAGGCTCAATGTCCCAGAAAAAAATACAGTTCCCATAATTCCCTAGCACTGAGCCAGGGCAGTGCCTCAATTTAATGTGCACTATTTCTGGCAGTCTATGCAGATGACACCATATTACAAGCACAAAATATCACAGACCTGGAAAAACTGCTAGGAAAGATCAAAGAAGAAAGTGCAAAGACAGGCTTACTGTTCAATATAAAGAAAACAACACTAATGATCGTGGAAGATTTACACAAATTACAACCTAGACAATGAGGAAATTGGAATAGTAATAGAGTTCCCATACCTTGGGTCAAACATTGATCAGAATTGGGACAGCAGTCAAGAAATAAGAAGACTAGGAATGGGGAAGGAAGCTATGAAAGAATAAGAAAAGATGCTAAAATGTAAAGATATACATCTGAGCACAAAAGTTAGAATCATACAAGCCATTGTTTTCCCTACTACCATGTAAGTTGCGAGAGCCAGATAATGATGAAAGCAGACAGGAGGAAAATCAGTTCATTTGAGAAGAGTAATGAGGATACCATGGACAGCCAAAAAGACAACTAAGGGGGGAAGCAGACAGGTGGCCGTGGGCTGTCCCGGGAAGCTGCAGATTGGGGTCGAGGTAGCCGCACTCCTCGGCCCCAATGCGCTGTATCCGAGGCCCAGGAAGGAGTGCTAAAACAGCACTCCTTCCACAAGACGCCGAAGGTGAACCACAAAAGGCCTTGGCCGCACCTTCGGTGCCTCTTCTGCTGCAGTGTGTGTGGACGCTGCAGCGGAAGTGCATCATTGGAGTGCTGGCCATGCGGAGCGATGACGTATTCGGGAAGGGGTTGGGGCACCCAGTGTGAGGCTGCGCCTCCCCTTCCTGGCCTCAAAAACAGTGCTTTGCGCCATCTGCTTAGGCCCTAAATGGACCCTAGAGCAGATCAAGCCTGAAGTCTCCCTGGCAGCCAAGATGATAAAGTTGAGGTTATTGTACTTTGGCCATGTCATGAGAAAGAATGACTCAATGGGAAAAACAATAATGCTAGGAACGGTGGAGACAGGAAGATTGCATGACAGATGGATAGACTCGATTAAGTAGCTCACAAGCATGAATTTACAAGACCTAAGCAGAGCAGTGGAAAATAGGGGGTCTTGAGGTGTCTTATCCACAGGGCTGCCAAGAGTTGGGATTGACTCGTGGGCGGTAAACAACAAATAACAAAAGACAGGACTGAAGTGAACACCAGAACCAATGCCAGAATAAATAGGCATACTGTCACCTACAGAAGACAGGTCACCACTGCACAACCTGGCACTGGGAGAAAGACTGCAAGGCTAAACAGCTGGACCTGCCACCCTCTTTGTTCCCCTGTAATGCCTCTGGGCACTAATGTAGCAGAGCAGAACAACAGAGGAGTCATTGAAAATAATTAACAACCTTTTCTATTGGCATTTGACATCCTTTTCACTTATGCTTTAGACTTCCTGGTGGCAGAGCCAGAAATAGCCAGGAAAACTTTTGGCCTGCTGCTGCTGCTTTTGTACTGTTGCTAGAGAATGAATCAAAGCATGCTCCAGTTGGACAAGACATAGCAAAACCTTTCAACCACAACAAGCATTTTGGGGATTTGACAAATTTTAGGAAATTTGACAAATTTTGTGAACCAGCTGAATGACACTACTGCACAGCAGTGAATTCTAAGAGATGGAGTCCAAAGGTATATGTAGGGAAGCACTTATTTATTTCTTAATAATACTTCACAACCAACTTCAGAAAGACAGACAGACAGATAGACCAACACACCTGACAGCAATACCTTCTGTCCTGCTGGGGCTACAAAATAACACATGTTGCTAATCTTCTACCGTGACCTTTCAATGAAAGGAAAGGAGAAGTTGGTACTGTAATAGGGCGTCTGAAGGAAAGTAATTGGTTTCATTGAGGTGGCAGATAGGATGGATAGATAACATCCACTCCCACTTCTTGCTTGACAATGTAGGAAAAGGCACTTTTGTCCCTCCTCTCTGTATGAAAAACAACAGACACACAGCAGAAGTCTCCTTTAAACAGCACTTCCTTTCATATGCCAAGATGCAAACAAATTGAATTGAGCAGCAAAGCTATATGGGGGTGAGCAAACTTTTTTCTTCTCACAAGTGTGTGTGTGTACTTGCACTTGCCAGTATAAATAGCTTTTTGCATTTGTCTAAGAACATGTCAGAGAGCACAGGTGAGGTATCCCACTTATTTTGAAAGTGCATTATGTCCATTGTGTTCTATGTCACACTGTACAGCGAAAGCTTTTTAGTTTGTATGCTTTGACAGCTATTTCATTTTGTTTGAGTGCATTTTGTTTGTCTTTTTCATTGGTCTTTTCCTTATCCTATCTAAACCACCCTGTACATTCTTATCAATTGGTAATATATAAGAAAGAAACAAACAAAGAAAGAAAGATTGCATTAGTGAAGGGGTGTCATACTGAGGATGAGCAAGTTTGCATTTCTCTCTCTTTCTCTCTCTCTGTAGGATCCTGGCCAATATTTGTATATATTTCTAATACTGTTTTCCATTTTGGCCTTTGTACAAAAACACAAGGTAGTTTTCCATAAATATTGCCAGAATTATCAGTTGTCCAGTACTTAAGTCTTCAACAAGTACAGCAAATGAAGAAACTTTGAAAACATATAATTCTCGAAAGTGAAAAACACCACCCATATTTCATAATTCATGTACTGTAAAATGCATAAATCCCAACCTATTTAAAATAGGTACTATATATTCTGACTGGTGGACTGGTGGTTTCACCAATGCTGTGGGGCTTAAAGCAAATCCCTTGAGATTGATTTGATTCTCCAAAATAAAAAAAAAATAACACGACTGTGTCTCTGCATGTATATTAGTGGGAAGGAAAGTACAGTGGCTTATGGATTCTCAATAACTTTGGCTGAATTAGAATTCTAGTTCTAATTATAGATCTACCTGTAGCTTCCTTCTCAACAGAGAGATACCCAAACTATCCAGAAATCAAGTCATCTGATCTGGAAGCTACCTATGCTTTCAGAGATATAAGGGAATAGAATGTGTGTTCTCAATGGTAAGGTAAAAGCTGGTAGGACATGCTTAGAAATACCTTGTTTTTTAATTTCATCATACCATTCCAGCCCTTGCTCTCAGGAAAAACTGGATTCTGGTGAGATTCAAATTAATGTAAGATATCACCTACACATTGAAAAATATCTCATCAGCCAAAATCATAGCAGTGTGGTATACGGATTAGAGTATTGGACTTACAATTGAGAGATTGGGATTCTAGTTACTACTCAGCCATGAAACTCAATGTGTGACCATTTTGCCTCATCCTGATCCACCTCAAAGGGATGTGTTGAGGGTAAAGTGAGAAGGAGAGACAGATTTACTACCCTGATATCATTGGTGGAAAGATGGAATATAAGTAATAAAAGAATGGCAAACATAACAGAGAGAACAGGAGCCATTTTATCCAGTCCCATAGCTTAACATCCAGTGTAATTGTTTTCTCTCTTGAGATGGCAATTTTAAAATATCTTTTTATTATTTCATACAGTGATTGACACAGCCTATCCACACACACACACACACACACACACACTTGTTGTAATTGTGTGCCTTTAAATAGTTTCTGACTTAGGTCTGCCATATCATAGGATTTTCCTGTCAAGGTTTGTTCAGAAGGGGGCTGCCTTAACCTTCTACTGAGGCTGAGAGAGTGTGATTTGCCAAAGGTCACCCAGTATGTTTCCATGGCTGAGAGGGCATTTGAACCATAGTCTCCAGAGTAATAGTCCAGTGTTCAAACCACTATACCACGCTGGCTCTCATACACCTATGTACATACATATATACTCAGTACATTCTCAGATATTCTTCTATGAATGGAACACATATAGGCTACTACTAATCCATTCTTAGAAGTTTATGAAAGCAAAACAAAAAAATTGAAATTGTCTTAACATGTTTAATTGTTTTATAATAGCATAGCTAAAATCCTGAATTGGGGAGAAATTATATTGGATTTCTCAAAGATGTGATCACATCAACTTTCATAGACTTATTATTATTAAATCTAGTAAAGTTTATTTATTTAAAACAATTAAACATGGTAAGACAAAATCATGTGAAGATTTGGATGAAATAAATTTGCCCCCCCCCCATTTTAGTAGCTTAAAGTTGGTGTCAGAATGATACCAGTATTGGCACCAATAGGGTGTTAAAGGCTTCTATTTCACAGCTGAAGTACCATAGGTGTGAAGGTCCTCTTCTGCATCCTCCCACAGTATAGTTTTCATGCTGGTAGGGCACAGAAGAATATACATGGAAAGAATATTTGAAAATATTTAAAATTGTCAAGAAACCATTTTTTAAAACATCAGGAGTGCAAGAGGGAAAAGAGGAGGGGGCAGTAATATAAGCAATGCTTCAATGTCCTTTTTAGCTGTTGGTTATTAACACTATGGAGTCTTTATGTGGGCAGAAAGGTGAGGCAGAAATATTTAAAGGTACATATACTTTCTCAAGCAGTACAGAAGGTGGTCTAAATTTTATTTGAAGGTACCAATTATTCTTGGGAGGTGAGAAAGGATGGTCTACATTCTCTACTCAAGCATGGCATTCTTTATTTTCTTATCAGAGACCTGACATTTCCACCTAATTCTGCAATCTATCTTCATCTATCTTCAAGTAGCAGGAATTTACTTCCAAGTGAATTTGCAGAGGATCAGGTTGCATGGCTGAAATCTTATTCATATTTACTGAGAATTCAGTCCCACTGTATGATGTATAGCTTATGTTGCAACATTATGTTATCACCTAATGCAATTATCAATGAAGCTTTCTTTCTTGCTTTTCCAAAGGGTTCAGTGTAACTCATTATAAATAATGTTATTAGTAATTAGCTCCCCCCTCAGTATTTAAGGTAAATTTTTTTTTTTGCAGTGCAACCAGAACTTTTAGTTACTTTCAAAGATAAAGTGTGTTAGTCTTTAGAAGCAGCATGTACAGAAATCTTGTGGCATCTTTGAAACTAACTGAAAGAAAGACTTCAGTCTTCTTCCTGTAGCCTGACTAAGGGGGACTACAGATGGGTGGCTCTTGGCTGCCCGGGAAGCTGCGGATCAGGGCCGTGGCAACCCCATGCTACAGCCCCAATCCTCCCTTTTGCCACCATGAAAAGAGTGGCAAAAGCCGCCCTAAGAGCTGGTGTGTGACTCTTCACCACCCTTTTCAGTGCAGCGTGTTTGAATGCTGCACCAGAAGGGTGTCCTGATGCTGTGCGCTGTGCATAATGACATGTGGCATCAGGACGGTGTCAGCATGGGGTTGGGGTGGCCAGCGTGTGGCTGCCCCACCCCAACTCTGCCTTCAGGCTGGCCCGTTGGGCCGTCTGCAGAGGCCCTAAATGGTGACTGGGGGGGAAGCAGACGAGAGCTTCCCATACGCCCTGGGTCGGCGTGCTGCGGGGCCGCAGCCTCCGCACCTTGGCGCACCAGCAGCGTCCCTGGAAGGAGCGCTAAATCAGCGCTCCTTCCTCAAGACAGGGAAGGTGTGCCCTAAAAGCATCGGGCTCACTTTCTCTGTCTTTTCCGCCGCAGCGCGTCCGGTCGCTGCGGCGGGAGGTTGTCCCCGGAGTGTCGGCCGTGCGGAGGGCCGGCGGCTCCGAGGACGACCTCAGGGAGAGGAAGAAGCGCCGTGCGTGTGGCTGCTGCTCCTCTTCCTGGCCTCGGAGACGGCTCAATTAGCCGTCTGCTGAGGCCCAAAGTAATATCAAGGTCCATGTGCTGTGCCTCATGCTCTGATGCCTAATATGAAGGAGAGTACATTTTGCACCTCAGGCTAGAAATTTTTATTTTTCAGATTTGTAAATAAATTAACTGTTCTAGTTACTTTTGAGCTGAAGGAAATAAAGATTTAATCTTACAATGTCCATATAATGTTAATTAATTAATCTGGCTCTTTGAACTATAATTGTAATCAAATACTGTACTATTCATTCATTCATTCAAGATCCTGCCTTATTTATATATTTGTTTGTTTATTACCTTGTAAGTCCAAGATGGCTTACAACAGTTAAAACAAGATACAACTAAAACTCTGATGTTATTTAAATAAGACAAAACCAAAATAAAATTAGCTAACATGTTAATATGAATGTCAATTTGGTGCAAACAACAGTAAGGAACTTGAAATAGATGGCAACTTGCAAATCATGTAAACCCAGATATGTTTTTTTTAAACATCAAAGTTTAAGCTCATAGTTATTTTAAATAGTTATTTTAAATAATTATTTTAGTAATCCTTGGGACCTGTAGGATTGTTGTAAGATGAATGAGTGTGACTTACCTAAGGCCTTCTATTAAGTTCATGGCTGACGTAAGATCTGAACTAGGGGCTTTCCTAATTTAATATTCTCAACCATAGCTTGATGGGTTCACATGTGCTGTAAGTTAAGAGAAGTCAAACACAAATTGCCCCCCTTTCCACCTAAGAAATACTTTTGAGTTCCAGTGGTATTGTAGACATTTTTCTAGGGATCTCATTGAGCAGTTATGAATATGAAACCTAGAGTTACACAGTTGTGGCTGTTTTGTATGCTTGATCCCTATGTAGTCCCTAGCACATTTATGTAATAATAATAATAATAATAATAATAATAATAA